TTCCGTTGCAAAAAAAAAACATTAAATCTACTAATCCTTTCGATTTAATATTAAATTGTTTTAGTTTTAATATAAATTAAAAAAGGGAAAGTAATTCACAACTAAAAAATAATACCGTTTAACATGTAATCAATAAAGTAGGCAGCCATTAATTAATTAATTAGAATTACAAAATAAAAATATTAAGTGTACGATATAATATATATAAAACTAATCTTTATATCTATTTAAAATGTGCAAAAACGCAGAAGTATGGTGATGCTTTAGCATTAATTTATGTATTCATATATTCTTTAACGTATTAACTATAGTATAAAAAAAACTTTCGAAATCAATAAAAATTAACTTTACTTAACAGCAAAATAAAAAAAAAACAATTCTATTCCCTATTTCTACTACTACCACTACTGCTATTACTTTCTCGACACTTGATCGCAAAATTTACACACGAAAGAAAAAATGTTAAAATATTTGAAGAAAAAAAAAAAAAAAAACAAACCAAACACAAACTGTAATTTTTTTATAATTTTTTTTTTATTTAAATTTTTTTTTTTTTAATTATTTTTTTTTTTTAAAAAAAAAAAAAAAAAAAAAAAAAAAAAATACAAATAAATAAATAAAAATTTAAATTTTAATATATAGATACAGCCATTTACAAATACAAACACAAAAAAGAAAAAATATATATATATATCTCAAGTTGTACAAATTTATAAAGATTTAAGAGTTTCTTGGAAAAGGCAAACTCTCCTTTTCTCCCTCTGAAGACTAGTCGAAAACAATAATTGTGATATTTATGTTGAGTTTTTCTCTTTCCTGTTCTTTTCTTTTAATATTATTAATACTATTCAGTTCTTAACAATTATGTAAAAACACAATTTCGTTATTGTTGTTGTTGCCATTATAATAATGATAATAATAATTATCATTAATATTATTATTATTACTTTTTTTTTTTGTTATATTTATATAATAATTTTGAAATTAATTTTATTTTATTTAAGATAAATTCATTTTTTCTTTATATTATTACGTAAAACAAAAAAAAAAAAACAAGTGCCTTTAAAAGTAATTTTTACCTTTATTCTCTTATTATTATTATTATTATTATTATTATTATTATTATTCTCTTTCTACTTAATTTAGTTTATATTTAAAAAAGAATTTATAATTTTAATAATCTATTTTTATATACATTTATATAAAAATCTCCTGTTGCAGCTTTCTAGTCTAATAGGATTCGTTTTATGAATCCTTGTATTTATAGTTAAATGTGCGACATAAAAAAAAAAAAAAAAAAAGAAAAAAAAAAAAGGAAAAAATTATTTTTTTTGCTTTTTTTTTTAAAAATTTTTTTTTTTTACATTTGTTCAATTTTTCTATATTATTGAACAGATGATAAAAAACAAAAAAAAAAATAATAATAATAATTGAAATTAATGATGATGATATCAGAAACACACAAAAAATTTTCAATAAAAAGTTTTTATTTTCAATTTTACAGCAAATAAAATATTAAAAGATAAGAAAAAATTTTTGTGTTTTATTAAACTTCTTACTTTCAAGTTTTAATATCATTCATCATATCTCACGCTTGATCCTTGACGCGAATTTTTGAGTAAATTTTCATAACCTTCTCTTGATGCCAATTTCTTATCACTAAGCAAGTTTTGCAAGGTAAGAAAAATAGGATAGTCGCTTTGGATGGCTGGATGGTATCCGAATTTCTCAACCTCAAGCGGCCAGGATAGACGTGTGTGGCCTGGCGATTTGCTGCTGGACACACAGCATCCCACTTGTTTGCCCACAATTCTGGCCATTTCTGACCAATCGGTGACAGTAGATTTCCGAATTTAGCCTTTGGCCGTATGCTTCCAAATGATTGTTTGCCAGACCTTTCAAATGCACAGCAAATGATTCGTGGCAGTGTTTGTCCTCGTTTGGGCACCGTTTGAGCGTTTTGAACGCAATCGCTTTCGTAAGCGATCGTTTTCGTATGTGACGCAATACTCAGCCCCAGTCACTATACGTTTAAGCAAGGGTTCGATCTCATTCAGCTTAGTCCAGGCTTCACAGATGAAAATTCAATCCATCACGTCTTTTGTGTTAATTGGTGTGGCACTCAAACATCAAGCTTCCTTTTCCTGAATCCAACTTTGTGCAAATGTGTAAGACTGTCTTGGCAGCTGGGCGATTCTACGATCATTTTATCGATATTATCGATGCCGGGCCTACCTGTGCGAGGTGCATCTTTAACATCAAAAAGACTTGAAACCAAAATCGCATGTAAGTGGCTGTTAGAACATCGGGACCATAAACACCATTCACAATTTCGTTCACTTAGCTTGCATTATCGCTTTTATCACAGAAAAACTGTAAAATATACTGAACACCCTGTAACTGACTAATTAAATGTGAGCCAAGCAAAAAAGAGCAAAAGAATTCGTTTTAGTGCGAAATGTCACCTTTCCCACGGGTATAAATCTGAAATTGTTTGATCGATACTTTACAAGATATCGATCACTGCATCCATCTCCCGGAAAAATAATGGATATCTTTTTCCCCAATTTATTAATATTTTCTTCAATATTGGCTCTTCTAAATTGCGTATTAAAGTTTTGTGAACACAACAGTACTCTTGAGTTATTTTCCATTGTAGCGGCTACACTGCCGTAACGTGTATGTTGTGCAAAGCATCTTAAAAGTTTATAAATAATTTCACTGCAATTGTCTCAGTTAAATAAATTGGAAACAAGCAAAAAAACTATAGTGGGGCCGAGGCGACAATAAAGTGTATCTTACACCATCCTGCAGGTATTCGACTATTCAAAATAGACCGTCGTATGGGAAGTGATCGAAAATGTGGTTCGATCCGAACTATTTGCAATAGTGTTCGTAATTGGGTCAAAGTCACGTCAGTATATCAAATGTCATCAAAACGTCTGAAAAATTGCAACCTTCAGGCTAAATACAAGGAAACAGGACACACGGATGGACAGACAAACAAAAAGTGATTCTCGATCGATCGGTATAATAAAGCTTGAGTCTATTTCAATTCTTCCCAGTTGGTGCGTACATCCGCACGAACTCAGCATGTCCGTGTATCACAACTGGTTTGACGTATAACAAATTTCGTAGGTTTTTGTATGCATTTACCGGCATTTATTTTGCTTTTCATACATCGTCAATAAAAAGTTATTATTATTTCAAAATTATCGAACTCCATCGATTCGCAATACAATACTGACTTCATTGGGTTCGGAGAGGTAAGTGATATCGAAAGTGATACGCTTTGCACACGTCGGCGGCATTATTTATATTGTATATAAACATTTCGTATAAGGAATACAGAATTTGGGCAAATACTCACAAACGAAACCGGTGTGCGTAGCCTTCTCACCAGGTATAGGCAAAGGATCTACAAATCGCTCATCGGCGTTCGCGTTGAACGAATTTACTTCAGAGGTGATAAGTGCAAAGCCTTAAGTGAAATTATTAAACATTGCGATACGAACGAATTGAATGTGAAAGCCTTGAATAAAGTGAAAGTGTAGACTAACATTCGTTATCCCAAAAATATTATGTAAGTAACTGTGATTTTAATATTTGCAATGGTTATCGAAATATTCTATGACAATTATAGAGAATTCGAGTTATTGTGGGTGACAGTGAAAGCTTAGAAAATTAATTAAAAATTTTCACTCAACTAAGACAGAAAGAGCTTGAACATGTACATCTGATATAAAGGTTAACACGTAAAAAGTGGAACGAATTTTAGGAAAGGCTTTCCGCGAAAATAAAGCAGAAAAATGCGAGTCGATAGTTCGTTTGCCGCGATACTTACACCAATGACGGATGTGATTAAATCAATTCCCGCCATCGAAGCACATTAGATACTTGTTAAATAGCTTGCCGAGGGATCACAGTATAATGTTCACACATATCTGTCTTTTCGTAATCGCTATGATACAGTCGTGATTTACACTTGACTAACACGTTCGCCTAAATATCTGAAGCACATATGTTATAATGCACGTATTCAATACGGTACTTTTGGGGAGGATGGATGAAAACGAAAGGAGTGTACGAAGAGGGAGTTTACCTTTTTATGGCGCAAGTAAATCATAACTTAGCCGACGCAAGAGAACAGAAATATTTCGCTTGCACCGGCTGTCGGAATACAATCCTTACTATTCGCTTGCAATATCTTTTGTGATGGATTTAAACTGGAGTTTTGTGAAAAGAAAGATAAACACGGCCAGCCTTTTCTCCTCTCTTTAAGTCGGGACATCTGAGTTGTTTGCGGTCGGTGACGATGCATGCGTTATGCAATCGCGTTTAGGGAGATTACCTGGATATATATATAGGGTTGCGATTTTATCAAATGCATCGAAACCGTCGTTGAGTAAGGCTAACAACGACAAATTATGTAAGTGTGTCGATTGCTAAATGAAAAGCATTTGCAACACTCTATCTCATATTCAAAAATTCTTCTAGAGAACTACATATGAAAGAAATATGCTATCATTACTTCCATATTCAATAAATATTCTTCCTTTTGATGAATATCTATTTCGACGGGTGACTTAATTTCTCTCTAAGCGGTGCTCTCAACGCTACTCAAATAAATGAACTCTTTCACCACCCAAGTCATATTCTATTAGGAAGACGGGAAGAACACCTACCCATCGATGTACATCTGCACCTACTTGCGATATTGTCTAACCGACACCTTGCTTGCGCATGTATATTTCCTATTTCGTAAATGGGTCATCATAAATAAATAATAAATAATAAAAACGAAAAAAAAAAGAGATCAAACAATTTCTTTTTTTAATTAGTTTTAATCAACTTTTTTTGGTTTTTTTTCTTAATATTTAAAAACTTTTTTGAATAAACTACTATTTGTAAAGCATTTTACACTAATGTACGGATAAAGGAGGCGAGCATGGGACTTTTTTCTATATATATGTACAGTAAAATAATTAAGAATCAAATTAAGAGTTAATTTAGAAGTTTTTAATACTGTAACTAAGAGAAGAGCAATATGGAGAATGATTATTCGAAGAGTTGTTGTATTTGAAATTTCAGAATAGAAAAGAACATTTTTCTATAATTTTTGAACAGAGTTTTTCAATTTTCATCAAGTGTTGACAGTGGGTTATCGTCTAAGTTGGCAGGTGTCGCTGTATTTTCTATAACTATAGTAGGTACCTCCAAACTGCTATTATTATTGATATTGTTATTTAAATCGGTTTTGATAACAGCTTCAGATGTTTCAGTATTTGGTGTTGGGGTTTCGGGCAGATTTAATTGAATTTCCAGTTGATTATTGGGATCTGTTGTAACATTATCGTGCAATTGAGGTGATGAGGGCTCTGAAATGTTCTTCTCATTTTTCGCATTATTTATTGCCTTTAATAGATCGATTTGCGGTGAGAGTGGCAAGGGGGGCTTGGTATCAACGACTATATCACGAGCTGGTGAAGTGGCTTTTGAAGTTTGTGGTGACTTAATCGGACTATCCGGAACCGGTGATGAGGCCTTAGACGAACGTGGAGAGGATCGACGACTGTTTTTACCGCTACGACTAGGTGAAGGTGAAGGCGTACGAGAAACTGGTGTAGCTCCACGGGGTACATCTAAACCATGGGCACGACGATCCATGAGTACCGTAGTAGCTTGAGGGGCCGGACTAGCAGCTCTTTTAATATTTTCCATTTTCTCTTCTAATTCCTTACGTATTACGGCAATAGGTCTCAAAAGGAATATGGGAACGTCATCGTCACGTCGTTGATATAACATTTCGCCTTCAAAATCGACCAGTTTATGTTTGCGTGCTCTCAACAATATGCCCACTACCTTATCCGATATATAATTATAGATCTACATTATATGTAAAATGCAATCGGAATTAAATTGATAATGGAAATTGAAATTATAAGAAATCAATTCGTCTTACGTTAAATAACTCGCCAAAAGGTATGACCCGCATGCCGGCATCATCCTGTACCGGGTAACCTTCTGAACTAATAATCTGGCACAATTCCAGCATCTCTTTCAACACGTGTATGTTGGCCTTATGACCACGCATTTCAGTTAAGCTACCAGCTAAAGGTCTGTTCGAATTAAGAAAATGTTTATAATATATCTCTCAAAAATAAAAATTAAATAAAAGACTATAAAGACTTTATTCCATTTATTATACTTACTTGCCGTATTCTTCTTTTGAGAAAGTTGGCCTAGGTGAAGCTCTACCATCTGTTTGTGAGAAAGGATTCAATAGTTGCGCCTGTTTGTGCTGTTGCACCTGATTGTTGAACATGGCTACCTTAGAGGAGAGCGACGAGTCCTGAAAGATGAGAGAGAGAGAACAAGATATGAATAATATTTGTATTAACTTTTCCTAATTCCATCTTTACGATTACATTATGCATTTTTTTGCCTCATATATGTTGAGTTCCCTGCGCTATAAATTTTAAAGAATTTTGTTACCAACAGATAGTAGTAAAACAACTTTATGGAAATTTTTTGTGCATAAAAACCAAAAGTATCTGACATATTTTCTTTTTAGATGGATGCGTAGAAAATTTCTGTCGAAAATATAATATTTTTAAAAAATTAGCAGGTTTTCTCTTTCTTTTTTTTTTTGTTTTAAGGGAATAGGATTGAATTGGGGGAAGAATTTATAAAATAATACGATATCTGGAAAGAAATTAGCGTTTGCCTCGCAGACATAACCCGAGCGCTGCAAGCTTCAGAGTATACATGTTTCAGGCAGTCAGGTGTAGCACAATTCAAGAGTCGGTGTTTGAAATTTTGATTTGATTGCTTTTACTCAAATAAGACGATAACGAAGCCTTCTAAACATTTTTTTTTTTCGAAGTGTCTAATTCTAGAGAAGCCTATTAAAGCGGTTAGACTGGTCCAAACCAAGGTCCGATATTCATAATTGTTTGCGCTCATCCTACTTCTTTTCCCTGAGATTATTTCTTTGGGTCAAAAATATATTATAACAATGATAGTAACGTGATGGTACTTTTTGACTGAAACTCAAATAATTTTTTCTTATATTTTAAATGAATTTTTTTAAAGCAAATATTTGCCCTAGCGTCTACACTGCAGAATCATCAGCAATTTCATGGCGAAAAATTGAATTAAATGCTCTTGATAGGCTTCCATTGAAGTCAGGCATACATCAATGCAATTGCTTTGCAGAGAGTGAAACTGACAGAGCGAGGCGAGATCTGAACTATGCAATGGATGCATCAAAACTTAAGGCGAATTCATTTGATTGGTTGTTGATTCGGCATTATCGTTATGAACGACGCTTTACTTCTATTACGCGCTTTAATCGCATCAGTTATCAACTGCAGAAAGTAACATCAATAGTCTAGCGTGCTTAAAGCAGTCCGTGATGCATAATTCCATGCAAAAAAAAAAATAAATAAAATAATGCCATGATATTTTTCCTTCACCTTTTGTTAAGACTATATAGATCTCAGACCGTTAAAACGTATCACTAAAACTACTTGGAGAGCGATTTCGGTCCAAGTATTCCTGACACTTTTTTGATTTAAACTTTCCTTGTTATTTGAGCCAAGTTCGAACGCAATAGTGCAAGGGAATGGTTATCTGTATCTTAGTTTTAAAAATCAGTCCGCTCAGGTTGCAGTCAGTACTGTTCAAACGTTTGAAAACGTGTCTGACATTACATCTCTTATAAGTCTTATTAAATAAATAATTTGTTTTTTATTTTTATATACCGTTAGATGATTGTCTCTTGAAGTTACGATACATTGTCTCTTATTAAACTAAAATAAAAAATGCCTTTTTTCAGTCTTTTTTTTTTGCTAATTGTTTCTGCAGTTGTTTTATCATAAATTTAAAAATTTTTATTTCTACAATGTTTCTTTGTAGGCGCATATGTGAGAGTAGTATTAAATATGCATAGAAATGTATAGAAGCGTTTATTATTACGTATAATTTCATGAAAAAATTTGAAGGTCGTCCTAAAATTGGAAGTGGTTGTCACCATTTCGAACTATTGGATCTACAATGTTAGCATTTAAATGCGTCCCAGAGAGAGAGAGAGAGAGAGAGAGAGGAAAAAAAAGGCTCACTTACACTTACTTGGGTCATATTCAGTTGTTTTAATTTTTTAAGAAATTCAATTTTTCACTTTATTGCAGCAATCGTTTTAACTTTATTCTCTTCTTGCCTTTCACATTTTCAAAAATTTTCTTGGGCAAACAGATCTTGACAATCCGGCCGGTGAATTGTGAAAATGCCTTTTTTAATCGACAGGCAAGAATTTCAGCCAAAACGAAATCACATTAACAAGGAATTAAAATATTTAATTACTTAAGTATTATGAATATGTATAAATGCGATCTATTCATTTAAGATATATTTTTTATAAAAGCATTTTTAAAAAGCTTAAGGAAAAACTAAGAGAAACCCTGTGATGGTCGTATCGCAAATAATAATTTCTTAATAAATTGAATGAGAAAGACATTAACACTATTTTGCCTGAAATGAATCGTTGCGATCAAACATCACAATGACATTTTTATTTTTACTTTTTTTAAGACACTCGATTCAAAGCAGTCTTTACACATACACTCGAAAGCAATGAAATCGCACAACCACTGCATTTCCATCTCGAACGAGAGATTTTCAGTATTTCTATTGCTTTATTGGTACTGTAATGAGTTTGGAGGCGAAGAGTAAGCATTAAGTGTTTTTCAAAAGCTAACAGTATATTTTTTCCAAATTTTTTATTACATTTAGCACAGACAGCCCTAATTCTGCTTCTGCTTCACGATAGTTGAACTTGATTATTTGACCGATTTGTCAAATTTGCCAAATTCATTTGATCTATTGAGCACGTATTAAGTGAAGAGGCATCCGAATTTACTTAAAGACAATTTTCCATCGATTGTTATGTCTGCACCAGTTTTATAACAAGTGTAATTGTTCCCAATAAATTTTTCCTATCATTATTTAATGTGTCAATTTGGCTTACATCGGTCAAAACAGATACAGCACGTATGAATTTTGGGGAACTAAGTGGCTGGAGGTGATGGAATTATTACTTATATATATTACATAATATTATGAAAACGGAATGTTGACTCAACTCTGTTTTTGCGCGGTCCTGCTATTCACCGCCAATACATACAAATATTATTTCCTTTTCGACCAGCGCCTTAGTTTCCAAAATCAATATATATGCTATATCTGTTCTGACGTATGAATTGTGAATAGGCATCGCACAAAAGCGGATCTGAGTGTATGTTTTCAAAGGAGTTTTTTTTTTTTAAATTTACCAAACATATACCAATAAAATCGTAAATGAGTCAAATTAATTCGCTCCAGCAATCTAGTCTTAGTAACGTAATCTAATCTAACCTCAAAATCTCAAAGTAAAAGTTTGAGAATCGTGACAATGACAAACGTTTAATGGAGAGACACAACATTTATGCAAGATTATAACCTCACAATTTAAGAGCCTTGCGAATCGTGCAGAACGCGCTAATAAGAATTTGAGGCGAACCGGATGAAACAAATTGAAAAAAATTGTCAGATAAATTTTTGTTTTGTTTTTCGAAAAATCCTAAAGAAAAAAGAATAATTAATGATAATTTAGTTTCATAAATGAAATTTTCTAAAATATGCGAATGACAAACGGCTGAAGTAAGAAAGATTTTTTGCAGTAGTATCAAGGAAGCAATTGATAACGTAACCTCAATTGCGAAAGGTGGGGACAAACGCCTAAAAGATACACTACGAAATTCATGATACACGGTTTAAATTATTGAGTTATCGTACTCTGCTTTAACTCTTTAAGAAAGCAATGATGATCGAATTGATGACCTAACCTCACAAACCAAAAGGGAGTAAATATCGTATAGATTACAATAATGAAAACTTAAGAAGACTTATATGAGATAAAATAGGAAAAATTTTTAATAAACTTTATCACAATTTTTTAAAAATTCTACGGAGAAGAATTTGAAAACCTAACCTCACAAAAAAAAACCATTAAAAATTTAATTGATTACGAAGACAAACGGTTGAAAACTTTCGAAAAAAAATCTATAAACGAATTATGATTTTCTATCTTAATATTGAAATAAATTGAAAGAAAAACGCGTAACATTTTTTATACCGCCAAGTATAGATTACTTGATATCGTTTAGAGCACAATCTTTTCTCCCATAATCATTTAGACAAAATATAGCCAAAAAATAAGCAAAAATTGGTTTGTTCTTTTGTGCATCTCTCGGGATCGATCTCTTCTTTTGAAAATGTATCTATACCACGGAGTAGTTAACGATACATTACCCTCTCGCTTCGAACAGTCGATAACGGAAACCCCTTACTATACAACACGTGCTGCTATTTTATAATATCTACACACTTTTATAGATATAAATACAAAATTTCTATGTAGATATATATATGAGTATGTATTAATGCATAGGATTGTATGTAAACTTGTAAGTATTTGAAATTCCTTTCATTTTATTATTCTCTAAACACACTACACTCAGAAATGCTTTCATTTTGTTTTTGTTTTCTTGTTTTTTTACAATCATCTCACTATAAGAATAAGAGTAGGTTAATCGTTTTATTGCGTTTGTCATGCATTAACATAACCAAGATTCAAGTTCATATTAGTCAAATGCCGAGGTCAAGATTTTGGACGATATCAAAAATTGATATGAAAAGTTAAAATTTCGCATCTATGGTTGTTGTACTTGATACGCGCATATCAAAACTTATAAATGGATGGTATCTGTGCATGAATATTTCCGAAAGAGCCCTTAAAAGATATCGAAACATTTCATTGTATTTGTAACCTATGTGATTTATAGATGATATAATTTTATGACTTAGGTTGAATAAATATTATCCAACAACTTTCCAGAAACTTTCCTAATATTCTTGTGGCGATCGGTTATTATATATTTTTATACTATATTAGGGCTTGAGATAAAAAAAAAAAAAAAAAATAGTTCCAATTGGTTATCCTTGAAATGATCGGGTGCTTGCAGTTCGCTCTAAGGCCAACATGGCTTTCTTCTTGTTATTGTTCTTCTTCTTCTTCTTCATTCTTTGGCATTTTAATTAACATTTTCCCGTAATGATGTTGTTGTTGTTGCAGTCGCTTGCCAATATTTTTTTATACATATATATATATATATATATATATATATATTTTTATTATTATTGTTATTGCATTCGGTTTGTTTTCAATTTAATCTTTTATCTTTTTTTTTTTTTTACTTTTACTGATTGGGCAGAAAATTAAACTGAGTCATAGCCAATAATTATATGCATTTT